TGAGGCAGCGTCACAGCCTGGTGGAGGCTGTGGACTTTGGGAACCTCAGCTTTAATGGAATTCTCAGATGGAAGCTTCTTTCAGGTTTGCCATCAAATGGTGACTATCACAATATTTTAGGTCTAAAAATTGTCTCACTTGAGGTCAGGAGTTCAAGACCAGCCTGGCCAACATGGTGACACCCTGTTTCTACTAAAAATACAAAAATCAGCTGGGTGTGGTGGCAGATGCCTGTAATCCCAACTACTTGGGACGCTGAGGCACGAGAATCGCTTGAACCTAGGAGGCAGAGGTTGCAGCGAGCCAAGATAGTGCCACTGCATTCCAGCCTGGGCAATAGAGCAAGACTGACTCTGTCTCAAAAAAAAAAAAAAAAAAATTGTATGTCCTCTATCTGATATAACACTGAGCAAATCATACAGCAGGAAATGTTCTAAGTTTTAAATAAAAACCATGATACAAAATTCTATTTACAGTATAATCTCAAATGCATTAGAGAAAGAGAAAATAAACAGGAGAAGTGGAAACATAAATACACAAAAATCTTAAGTATTTTTGGAATAATGAACCTAAACAGGATTGTCCTAAACTTTCTTTACAACACAGCGATGTTTAGGTAAGATACAAGTTTAACATTATATTTTGTTAGAAACACAAATGTACTTTAACAAACACGTAGTGCAGCATTAGGTAGGTTTCACTTTGGGGGTTTCATTTACTTGTTTGTTTGGTAAACCTGAGACACTAACATGCACTAGTTTTGTTGTTGCTGTTTTTGAGGCAAGATCTCACTCTGTCGCCCAGGCTGGAGTGCAGTGGCTTCATCTTGGCTCACTGCAACCTTCACCTCCTGGGTTCAAGTGATTCTCATGCCTCAGCCTCTCGAGTAGCTGGAATTACAGGCATACACCACCACGCCTAGCTAATTTTTTGTATTTTCAGTAGAGATGAGGTTTTGCCATGTTGCCCAAGCTGGTCTTGAACTACTGAGCTCAGGTAATCTGCCCACAATGGCCTCCCAAAGTGCTGGGATTACAGGCGTGGACCACCACACCCAGCCTATGCACTAGTTTTAAAATTCAGAGGATTAAATTTGCTCTACATCATATAAAGAAATGTGTAGGCTGGGCGCGATGGCTCATGCCTGTAATCCCAGGACTTGGGGAGGCGGAAGCAGGTGGATCACTGTAGTGAGAGGTCAGGAGTCAAGAGAGCAGCCAGGCCAACATGGTGAAACCCCATCTCTACTAAAAAAATACACAAAAAATTAGCCGTGTGTGGTGGCACATGCCTGTAATCCTAGCTACGCAGGAGGCTGAGGCATGAGAATCCTTTAAACCCAGGAGGTGGAGCTTGCAGTGAGCCGAGATCACACCACTGCACTCCAGCCAGGGTGACAGAGCGAGACTCTATCGCAAAGAAAAAAAAAAAAAGAAAAAAAAGAAATGTGTAAACATGCCCAAGAAAATCAGTCAACTGGCAAAAATGAACTGTTGATTTTTTTTTTCTTACTCATCTTTTCTTCTGATTCATTTCATTCTCCTACTAAATAACTTCCTTGCAAGATTCTAATCAGGACATAGATTGAAATCCAAACCCTTTAGTTTTTCATTTTTTATATAATTATTTTTTCCTCAGGTCTCACAATCTGTTTTTTTTTTTTTTTTTTTGAGAAGCCTCCCAAGTAGCTGGAACCACAGGCACATGCCACCACACCCGGCTAAGTTTTTGTATTTTCAGTAGAGATGAGGTCTCACCATGTTGGCCAGGCTGGTCTTGACCTCCCGAGCTCGAGCAATCCGCCCACCTCAGCCTCCCAGAGTGCTGGGATTACAGGCGTGAGCCACCGCGCCCAGCCTTCATCTTTATTTCTTTAAAGAAACATTTAAGTGGTGCTTCTCTTTGTGTACTCCTCTAAGCACTGTATGTGACTCAATTCACCTAAGTAATTCTTCAGGTTGGCGTTTAGAGCACGCCGACTTGGTTTCCACCTTGGACCAGCCTTTCCTACCTTTCCAATGGGTCTGTCACGTGGCCTTAAGAACATCCTCAAAGGGATCTCTTGTCTCGTTCATCTCTTCCTGAGACACAATCCTCCCACCCCCACTCCCAAAATCCACTTGTCAAAAGTCCAGACAACCTCTAATCCTACCTGCATTAAACCTTCCCGAAGCCTCCCGGTCAGAATTATTCCTACCCACTCCTTGCTCTGGTACTGGAGGTACAACCATTTCTGAAGAATATAAACTCTCATAGGAATTAAACCTACTTGTTTACATCATCCTTCTCTAGTTTCCTCTCCTCATGCAGCCTGGCTCTGCGTTCTACAAAATAGATGTGGCTCAACATGTCATGCCTTGTAAATACACTCATTTAATCTATAAAATAAAGATAGGCCATAGTCAAAGGGCCGTTTTCACTAGTGCCAACCATGTACAGAACATCATATGCTGCCCCATGCTATTCTTTATTACCAAAATTGTTATAAATGGCTGCATTATAAAATAATTACCATTTCCTGAGCATTTTCTGTGTGCCAAGTACCATGTAAGCACTTCACATGCCTTCTAGGTTCACATATTCCCCCCCAGATTACTCTTTAACAGAAAAACTTGCCTTATTGTCCAGGTCTATGATAATGTTCTCATATTATGGAGGGTTCACCACTTTGTAAAAAACAATATACTATTTGAGGGAGACACATTAACCAGAACTAATTCAATTAGGGTAGTTTTAGATGTTTATAGAAATCATATGATAAACTATCAAAAAAAACGGGATGGGGAGACAAAGAAATTTAACATGGATAGATGAATTATTCCTAGGGAATGACTTTACAATTGTCACTGCCAGGAAATTTATCAATTAGCTATAGAAAGACTTTTTTTTTTTTTTTGAGATGGAGTCTTGCTGTGTCGCCCAGGCTGGAGTGCAGTGGCGCCATCTCAGCTCACTGCAAGCTCCACCTCCCGGGTTAGAAAGATTCTTTAAAAGAAACAACAACAACAACACAGCAAGTTGCCATGCTATGGAATCACAAGTTATAAGAGGAAAAAACACCTAAATGTTTGAGAATTAGTCTTTGAGGCTGGGAATAAAATTTGCAGTGCCAGCATTGTAGATGGGTTCAAAAAGCTCTGCATAGCAAACATCTGCAGGAGGCAAAGGTAACGTGGTCTGGTAACTCTGTTTAGAGAGACTCAAAAAGTGATTGTAATGAAGACAAACGTGCTGAAGTTGGAGATATCAGCCCAGAGTTTGAACAAAAGCATTCTGTGAAATGTGCAAGTAGAAATATTATAATAATAGATCACTTATTCATATTTCAATCACATTATGAAACTAAATACTTTCCTTAAAAACTAAACTCATGGCCAGGCACAGTGGCTCATGCCTTGGGAGGCTGAGGCTCAAAAATCGCTTGAACCCAGGAGGTGGAGGTTACAGTGAGCCAAGATCACACCACTGAACTCCAGCCTGGGTGACAGAGTGAGACTCTATCTCAAAAAAAACACAAAAAACAAAAACAAAAACAAAACTAAACTCTTGCAGGTCACAATGGCTCACGCCTATAATCCCAGCACTTCGAGAGGCCAAGTCAGGAGTTTGACACCAGCCTGGCTAACATGGTGAAACGCTGTCTCTACTAAAAATGCAAAAATTAGCTGGGTGTGGTGGTACACGTGTAATCCCAGCTACTCCGCAGGCTGAGACACGAGAATAGCTTGAATCCAGGAGGTGGAGGCTGCAATGAGCCGAGATCACACCACTGCACTCCAGCCTGAGTCAACTGAGTGACTCTGTCTCAAAAATATAAAAAATGAAATTAAATTCATGTGAAAGAAACTTCTCTGCCAAGACCAGGCCTGGAGAGCGTCTGTACTCTTCAGAAGCAACTCCCCTTGCAGCACCCGCAACTGAGTAAGGACAGAAACGGGTGTCACTGGAAACTCATTAGGAGACCTCGGGTCTCTTTAAAGGCCCTTCAACTTCATACAAACTTCACCATATCAGGAGATAGAGGATAATATATTAGAAAGAGATAAGAAGTTGAAAAACAGTCGTCTCCTCGTGTTCTGTTGCCACACCCATTTGTTTAATGAATTTTTAGCAAATTGAGAAATTTAACAATTTAAAGAAATGTTAGAGTCAGAGAGACCTAAAACCTCCATCTTCTGTATTTGACCCAAATCTGAGAGCAGCAACCGACCAGAGAACACACACAGCCTCTTCGGTTTGCTTTCAAATTCTCAGCTAGAATATCAACAGAGTAACAAAGTGAAATGTGCAGATCTCAGAACACAAAATATCAAGGAAAGATACTGAGAATAATGACTCTTTTAGTTTTAGGTAAATTTGCATAAACCTTCTAGCAGTAAGTGCAGCCTTTGAAAAGACAAGGGTATGCCTCGGGATTCTTCAACAGGGCGGGACCTGTGCGTGGGCACAGGAGCTCCAGGAGCGGGATGCCTGGAAAGAGGGCCAAGCCACAGGGGCTGCTGCCAGCTCCACCTGGAGGGACACTCACCTCCCCAGGCTCATCCCGCTGTGCAAACAACCCGCACGAGGATTTCTCTTTTTTAAAGTAAAGTTGTTGGAAAGGCTACATGCAACTGAAAAGTGTTCTTTTTGATGCTTTAAGCTTTTGCTCTATTACCTATGAGAATAATAATATAATCTCTCATTTGATAAGATGATAAAATAAAATAGTATTAGCAGCCCAGAAAACCTATTTTTGCTAAAACTGTTAATGCCTCTAAAATACAACATTGTCACCAGAATCCCCAGTGGCCTCGCGGATAAGGCATTGGTCTCCTGAAACAGAACATTGTCACACTGGTCTGATGAGAACCCAGGATAGAGGGTGTTTTGAGGACCACATTTCCTATCACATAAAATAAAATCCTGCCCTTGAAGATGCAAAATGCCCACACCTGCCACTGCCCTGTCTCCTCCGGAGAGGCTGGGAGACGTCTCAGGCCCCAGTGCCCTTCACTCACCTGAATGTGCATGGCGCCCTCTACTGCTTCTTGGATATTGGGGCAACCACTGATGAGGGAGAGCTGCTCTTCTGCACTCAGGGAGCCTTTCAGAGCACCTGCCTGCTCCAGCAACTTCATCTCCTTTCTGGAAAGGCAGAGAGAAGGATCACTGTGAGTATTCAATACCGCATTTAAAAACAAATAAAGCTCAACATCAGGAATCATCAGGGAAATGCAAAGCAGAACTACAGTGAGATACCACCTCACACCCATTAGGGGCTACCAAAAATAGAAACTAGCAATTGTTGGCAAGGATGTGGAGAAACTGGAACCATTGTGCACTGCTGGTAAGACTGTGAAATACTGCAACCACTACGGAAAACAGATATGGCAGGTCCCAAAACAGAATCACAGTATGATCCAGCAACTCCACTTCTGGGTATAAACCGAAAATAATGGAAAGCAGGGTCCGTAAGAGGTTTCTGTACACCCATGTGCACAGCAGCATTATTCACAATAGCCGAGAGCTAGAATCAACGTAAGCATCCATCAATAGATGAGCAGATAAACAAAATGTGCTACATACGCACAACAGAGGAAGGAAATTCTGTCACATGCTACGAAATGGATGAACCTTGAGGACATTATGCTGAGCGAAATAAGCCAGTCACAAAAGGAAAAATACTGTGTGATTCCACCTAGAAGAGGTATCTAGAGCAGTCAAAATAATAGAGGCAGGCCAAGCCAGGTGGCTCACTCTTGTAATCCCAGCACTTTGGGAGGCCGAGGTGGGTGGATCACTTGAGGTCAGCAGTTCAAGACCAGCCTGGCCAACATGGTGAAACCCCCGTCTCTACTAAAAATACGAAAAAATAGCTGGGCGTGATGCCGCGCACCTGTAATCCCAGCTACTCAGGAGGCTGAGGCAGAAGAATCGCTTGAACCCGGGAGGCAGAGGTTGCAGTGAGCTATGGTCGCACCACTGCACTCCAGCCTGAGCGACAGAGTGAGACTCTGTCTCAAAAAACTCATAACAGAGACAGAACTAGAATGTTGGTAGCTGCCAGGGGCTGGGGGTTGAGGAATGGGGAGTTAAGGTTTAAGGGGCACAGAGTTTCAATTTGAGAACATTCTGGAGATGAAGGATGGTGATGGTAGCACAATCATGTAAATATACTTAATACACTCAAAACATTAAGGTAAATTTTATTCTATAAGCTTCACCACAATTTAAAATCTTAATTACTTGTTTTAAAATGAAACAATCCTCATGGCAGGGGGCAGGGTGGGGGGCGTGCTGGAAAACAGTGGTTCTTAATCCTCTCCCTTGGGTCAGTCCCCTGGGATGGAAGGATTGAAAGAAGGTACCTTACGGCAGAATGGGCTTTGTGGCGTGTGATCTGTGTGGTCACCCGGGCCACCATGCTCAGAAGGGCCTGTGCTGGGTTTACTGCTCTGCTGTTAGCATCTTACAATTCTTAATATATTTTTGCTTTGGGGTTTTGTTTTGTTGTTGTTGCTGTTTAGATTTTTTGTTTGGTTTGGTTTGGTTTTTGAGACAGGATCCTGGTCTATCACCCAGGCTGGAGTGCAGTGGCACAATCGTGACTCGCCACAGCCTTGACCTCCCGGGATTAAGTGATCCTCCCACCTCGGGCTCCCAAGTAGCGGGGACTACACAGGCACACCACCACGCCTGACTAATTTTTTATATTTTTTGGTAGAGACGGGGTTTTGCCATGTTGCCCAGGCTGATCTCTAACTCCTGGGCTCAAGTGATCCTCCTTGCCTTGGCCTCCCAAAGTGCTGGGATTATAGGCAACAGTCACAGCACCTGGCCCTAAGTTTTTTTAAAAGGAAGGAGAGAATCTTTGAGAAGTTTTTCTCATATAAGTAATTTGGAAGATTCATAATATATCAGCTTAAAAAAAACTATCTTAAAATAGGGCCACAAAACAGCTATCTTGTTTTGGAGAATTATAAGGACAAACATACTGATCCCTGCTCAGATCTTATCACCCACAAAACAATTCAGCGTTAAGTACCAAATATCCCGGACCACCATCCCCAGTGAGCCCACATTTTTAAATTTTCATATAGAACAAATTCCTTGAATTACAGGCTTATAAAGTTAGTGAGGCCAGCCACAGTGGCTCACGCCTGTAATTCCAGCACTTTGGGAGGCCAAGGCAGGCAGATCACTTGAGGATGGGTTTGAGACCAGCCTGGGCAACATGGTGAAACCTCGTTTCTACAAAAAATACAAAAACTAGCTGGGTATGATGGTGCACACCTGTAGTCCCAGCCACTCGGGAGGCTGAGGTGGGAGGATCACTTGAGCCCAGGAGGTGGAGGCTGCAGTGTGCCACTGTACTCCAACGTGGGTGACAGAGCGAGACCCTGTCTCAAAAAACAAGCAAGCAAAAAACAAAAATAAGTTAGTTAGTGAAAAATATACAAAACGAAATATGTGTCTTGGCCAGTTCATCTGGAAGTGTATTAGTTGCATAGGGTACTGTGAGGTGTCTTAGCAACAGATTAGAAATTTAAGATTTCTAAGGTAGATAGCCAAAATCAAAAAATAACTGGTCCAAGGTAAGTGCCAGCAAATACATATTTGAAACATCATGGAGGGAAATATAACAAAAAGGGTCATGAGGAAAGGTTCCTCTATTAAGGTAAAATGGAAATGCAGGCGCTCACGGGTCCTACACGGTCCTGTGATTCTGCGTCAACAGCACTCAGCACGCTTTCCTGAACGCAGACTGTGCCTCTTAAGTGGCATTATTCGGGAACAAAGAGCACCACGCGATCCAAAGCTCATTTATCATCCACCGTGTAGTACGTTTTGATCCATCTTTGAAAATGTTGAGTTACACAACTCTGTAAACATACTACAAAACCACTGAACTGGACGTGTCAAATGAGTCAGTTGTGTGACATGTAAATTTATCTCAATAAAGCAGTAGCATTAGTATCTTATTGCGACTGTAACAAATTATCACAAACAGTGGCTTAAACAATACAAATGTATTATCTTACAGTTCTGAAGGTCAGAAATCCCAAGTAGACTAACATCAAAGTGTCTGCAGGGAACACACTCCTTCTGGAGGTTTCAGGGAGAATGCGTTCCTGGCCTGCCCCAGCTTCTAGAGGCTGCCTGCATCCGTGGCTATGACCCCTTCCCCCTCCACAGCCAGCCACCCCTGCCCCACCTGTTTCTGTCATCATGTCTCCTTCCTCCCTTTATCCCCCTAAGGACCCATGCGATTACATCAGGCCAAGCCAGCTATTCCAGGACAATCTTCCCATCTTGCCATTCTTAATTCAATTACATCTGCAATGTCTGTTTTGCCATATGAGGTTCTGGCTCATCCAAAGTTGTGCCATTTTAAATCTGGACATCTAACTGTGTTTGTAGACATGTTGTTCTGGGGATGATATGCAATTTGCTCCTGCCAGGCACTGGGGGACGCTACCAACCAAGGAACCAACCTGAATTATTGGCTTGGGGGTTTTTCAGAGGACACAGGTAGTGTGAATTTGAGCTCTGAAACTTTGAGGATTGCTCTACGGTTACAGATTCTCAAAGAAACTCTTCCTCCCCTCCACTCAGAGTCAATGCTCCCACCGGTGACCCTCCACTGAGGGGATCCAAGTTATTTTTTTTGCCAATGATGTAGCCCTTAGAGAACACTAGCTTCTGTCAGGGGTCTCCAATTTGACTCCCATCTTGCACAGACTCAGGTTGGCTGTTACAACGGAAGCTCTAGATTAGCAGGACTAACTGGCAAACACCCTTCGAGCAGCCGCCCGCTGTGGCTGTCAAGCACCCCTTGGAACTGGTGCTCCTGAGGTAGGCCTCTGAAATTCTCCATTACTATTTTGCCATGTGAGCTTACTACCATGACTTCCACGGACTGGATCCCACGTGGGAATCTGGGCCAATGGCAGAGGCCCATGGGCAGCTGGTGGTGGCTGCAGTAACCAGACCAAAGGAAGCCTGAGCCCTATAGCGACAGGGCAGTCAGAAATGTAGACCCCAGGCCGGGCGTGGTGGCTCACGCCTGCAATCCCAGCACTTTGGGAGGCCGAGACAGACAGATTACCTGAGCTCAGGAGTTTGAGACCAGGATGGCAAACATGATGAAACCCTGATTCTACTAAAAATACAAAAATTAGCCAGGTGTGGTTGCACACCCCTGTAATCCCAGCTACTCAGGAGGCTGAGGCAGGAGAATCACTTGAACCTGGGAGGTGGAAGTTTCAGTGAGCTGAGATCACGCCACTGCACTCCAGCCTGGGTGACAGAGCTGGACTCCGTCTCAAAAACGAAGAAGAAGAAGAAGAAGAAGAAGAAGAAGAGAAAGAAATGCAGACGTCCACAATGGGCAGACTGGTTGAGGGCAGGAAGGAGCAACAGAAACACAGCTGGAAGTGGAGTCACCATGACCGCAGGCCATAAAAAAGCAGGACCTTAGGAAAGGACACAGCCGCCCTATAGCTGCCGTGAGCTGCCAGAGCCACTGTCTGACTGTCAGAGGCTCAGGTGTCCCCTAAACAATGTCTGTTTCTGCGACAAAGATGCAGCCGCAGAGATGGTGTCCTGTATCTTACTCCCTCGCCTGGTATCACAATCAGCCCTCATGGAGAGCAGAAATCAGAGTACCGTCTTTTAGAGCCTGAAAGGGCCTAGCGCAGACTTTGTTTGGAGATTACAACACATTTGAATTTTTCAGTTTTTAACTGTACGATTTATGTAAGTTTGACCTGCAGCTGTGGCTAAGCCTAGGAGTCAACATTGGTAAAAGACAACCACACTGCCCATAAATACAACCAGAAGAAAAACAGTCATATGGCAGAAAAGCGATTTGTAGCTACCAAACAGAAACTCGCTTCAGTTTAATTGAAAGTTTTCGCTGTTACAGAGGAATGAGATGTTTCATCTGTGCCCGCTGCTTTTCTAAGACTATTTCCTTTTCATAATTTATTTAAGAAATTTTAAACGTAGAAAGAATAATAAACATTCTCATATCTCCACCCTCCAGAACTAACCACCGCCAATCCTCTTTGTCACTTTTTAAGGAAGCAAAACCTAAATGAATCTCTTAGCGCCACCATCCCAGTCTCACCCAACCATCTTTC